CAGCCAGCCCAGCTCAAGTCTATCTGCCCAACTGACCCCTCAGCGTCCCTTCTATGGGTCTCCCTGTTTTACCCCTGCCTTCATCCAGCCCAACCCTTCTTGGCACAACTCCTGCCCTCCAGAGAAAGTCCCTAACTCTATAAGGAGGGGCCTTGAAGATCTGGCCCTACCTGCCTCTCATCTTTTTCCTTACTCCAGTCTCTGGCCCTCACTGGTTCCCCAGCATCTCACTTGCCCCCTCCCTTTCTGGTCTTGCTTTTTTGCTTCATTGTCTGACCTCCTTCCTGACACTCAGCTCTCTAAGGGCCAGGCTTGTGTCTGTCCTATTCGATGCTGAATCCCCAGGGCAGAGCATACTATAGGCATTCAATGAATGTTTGTTGAATGCATGCATGATTGATGGAGGGAGGGCAAAGGTCATGCTTTATGTCTGCACAAGGAGAAAGCCAGGCATGTTGCTCAGAACATAGTGCTCAATAAATTCAGGTCAAATGAGTGAGAGGAGGTAGAAGTAAGAACAAGGGGGTAGAGAGCAGTGGCAAAAAGAAGGCAAGATTGGTGACAGGGACCCCTAAATTCTGCCCCAAGATTCACACAGGTCTCCTGGGCAGCCCTGTCCCTCTGTTCCCTCAACCACACACCCGATCTTCAATCATTAAGTATTCTACAAACAGCAGTTCCGATACACTAGTTTCACAGTACTTTACATTTTACAAAATATTTTCACACATACACCATTGTCTTTCAAGCCACTCAACCAGCTAGTCAGTCCCACTTTGCCCAGATGCTGAGGGTAACAGTGGCAGTGTGGTGGAGCAAGCCTGCATGCCAGCCTTTGCCTTTTACTAGCCGTGTGGTCATAGACAAGTTCCTTGACTTTGCTCATCTGTGAAATGGGGATTGTACCATCTACCTGTCAGGAAGGCGAAGAAGACTGAATGACACCACATATGTAAATACCCAGTGCTGTCTGTCTCTGGAAGACGCTTAGTAAGTCACAGTTACATTCCCTTCGCGCAGGGATTTTCCCCAAATCTGAGACAGGAACTCTGGTTTTCTGATACTAAAGACAATGTTCTCACCAGTTAGACTGGTCTTACCAGTGTTGGATTGCTGCTGCAACCCCTGTGGGGCTGCTAGGTTGGAGGGCTGGCTTGGGAGGCCAGTCTCTTCCACTGCTCTCATTGGGTCAAGAACCGGGAATGCCCTGGAACCCTCGCAGACGCTAAAAGGCACCAGGTGTTGGAAAGGTGGGTGAAGGACACACCAAGTCTGTCTCCCACTCCACGCTCCGGACCCTCAGGGACCCCCAACCCACACCCTTCGCCCAAACGCCCACTTCAGCACGCCCCGCGGGCGCCTCCTGGTGGGAAACAAAGGCCATCCTGGGCGCCAAGCTTGGGCCCGGGGACCTCGGGTGACCGCAGGTGCGACCCCCAGCTGGAACGGCGCTGGCATGCCATACCTCGCCGCCGTCTCCACAGCCTGGGAAGCCCGCTAACGGCTCGCCAGGGTACCCCGGCCTCCCAGGCCGCGCCGTGGGGACAGTGCTTGCCCACCCGAAC